TACAAGAGCTAAGTTGAATCAGGGGAGTAGAGGAAATTGTGAAGATTTTAATTATAGACAGTGTAGCTTTAAATATCCTTGGGCTGCACATGAAGGATATAGTAGGAAAAGAACAATGACAGGCGAACTGGTGTCCTGGTGAGAACCAGTCTAGGGATCAAGAGGTTGGTCCAGAGGAGAACAAAGAATGTCTAACCTTAGACAGATCCTTAAACCTTGCTGTCTTCTATCCTTATTTTGAAAAGGAAAATGAAGAAGTTGAACTACCCAATCTTCAAGTTCCCTTGAAATCGTAAGCATTACGAGTTAAAATAGCTTCCATCTAAAAATGGAGCCTCTCACTTTCTAATACTTATGATTTTGGGCCAGTAATGTTTATTTAGTTCGTGGACTATGCAGATCCATTTAACTTAATTCTACCATGCTCATGAAATTAAACATCAAGAAGCATGGGTTCCAGAAACTGACATTAGAAGTATCTTTAATAATTTCATTAACCAATGTCACACCAATAAGTTCAATAAAAAAAAAAAAAAGAGTAACTTTAAATAACCAGGATAACCTTGAATATCTTACTATTTTTTTAAAAAAAGTGTTACCCAGCCAGTGTTGCTCAGTGGTTGAGTGTTGACCTATGAACCATGAATTCACAGTTTGATTCCTTGCCAGGGCACATGCCCGGGTTTCAGGCTTGAGCCCTAGTAGGGGGCAGCCAATCAGTGATTCTCATCATTGATGTTTCTATCTCCCTTTCCCTTCCTCTCTGAAATCAATAAAAATATATTTTAAGAAAATAAGTGTTATGTGTCCCACATATAACTAATTTCATTCTGACCGTTTTGCTTGTTGCATTCAGAGGCCTTTTTATTTGCTCTGTAGCAGGGAATTAATAACAGTGATCAATTAAAGTCTACTAATCTGAGTTAAGAGGAAAGTATGAATATTGGAATATTAATCTTTTAAAGTACCCCCAAAGCACCTTTCCTCTCCTCCCCTCAAAAATCTGTTTCCTTGAGGCTCTTTGGAGAAATAGACCTCAGAGACCTTTTAAGATATTCCCTTGAGGTCACTGTAAACTTTAAAAAAAAAAAAAAAGTGTAAAGGTAAATTTGCCTGTGTTGATGATGCTGTTTACAGTTTAATGGTTTATTAGTTCAACTGAGAGCTGTTGTCATCAAGAGGGACTGTTTGTGCATCAGGCTGTTTGCTGAGTCTAGCAAAGGAGAAGGTTTTGCTTACCTTCTTTCTTTTGTTCCCAAAGCTAATTGCTAAGCAGTTACCAAAAGCCCCTGTTCAAAACAATAGAGGTCCTCATTTTAAGAAACCAATTCCTATGTGAAATTCAAGCAATATTGATTCTTCATGGCTATAATCTAGCTGCATGTTTGATAGTCGTGTAGAAAAGGATAATGACCCGAATCGTAGGGGACTCCCCTGATGCAGTGTTAAAAGGGAAACTCCAGGGACCCCATCCTTATTTTTCTGAAACACTCTCCTTCGAGTTGGGAGTGGGGAGAGGAGCAGGGTTCTCATCGCAGAAACTATGGAGTTTGTCCCAGGAACACACGCAGGGGACCTTTACCCTTCTCTCTTGGTATTTGGTCTCTTCCAACTCCACCCCTTTCCTCCGGTCTCTTTCCAAGGAGGATCTTCCTGATTTCATCATTGGTTTGCTTTTGGAATTCTGGGCATAAATGGTTTTATTTTAAAATTGACCTTAATTTTTTCAACAATGTAATTTCATGCTAGTGGGTATGCACAAACTAAAGAATTAAGATATTTATATGAGTGGACAGGCATTTCTGCAAGGATATGCATATGATGAGGTGTGTCAGAGGATCTATATTGTTACAAAAATAAGAGTTGCTACCTCCCACATATCCAAACACAAAACTTTGACAGAGTAAATTTTTAAACTAATGTGCACCTGGTGCTTTAAGTTTTGTTACTAGTAGGGAGAGAATAGTTCCTTATGTTTTTGAGGGAAAATACTTGAAAAAAAATTAGGAGTATTATTGAATCATATATCACACAAAATTAGAGTTTTAAAATTTAATTAACATGAGTTGATATATAAACTACATAACACTGACTCTTACAAGATAGAAACCGAGGAATCACTATACCAATATCAAATAACATCACCTATTATCTTAAACTTATTTAAAGCCTAATGTAAAATTCTCTTTTACATTAGGCTTTAAATGTTAGGAATACTGAAGTATACTAATACCAAGATTATTTTATGTGTCACAATAAGATGCTTAGACATACTTATTATCATAATATTAGCATTTTATCACCTAGAATTTATTCAGAATTTGCCCAATCAGTGCTATCTTGGTCAAACTAGATGCTTAGGAATTGATTTTATTAGGAATTAGTGTCATGGAAATCTTCAGTAAAGAGATGGTTTTTATTTTAATTATTTGTTTCTCCTACCTATGCAGTCACCTTTAAATTTTCACTTTATCAGGAGGTTTACTAATTCAGTGGTACTTTATGCAAATTTAATTAATAATTAATACATTTTTTAAAAAGCTTGGAGAGGCTCCTTTTCAAACAAACCAATATAAATTTTAACATATAATCATGTATAAATATGCCTCCTCAGAAATTTTTAAAAATGTTGGCAATGCTAGCCCATAAACTCAATAGCTAAATAAATTTACAGTGTAGTTCATGTTTTCGACAACAGAAATGAAATTAATTCAATACTAATGAATATCCTGCCAGTTTCCTAAGCATTTAAACTGTTAAATCTAATGGTGATAATTTTGCATATACTTAACTATATTCTTTATTTGGGAGAAGATACTGCTATCGCATGTGTCTGAAATACGGATGAAAATGACTAGCTGCAGGTCAGGTTTAACCGTTTGAGAGTACTCTTTGGAAAGAAAAGTCCAGACGTACATAGACTTTAAGTTTTTCTCACACGGCCAAAGATAGTCCACTTGACATTTTTGGGGAGGATGGTAAACAAATAAAGAAAAGGTTAGCAACACGAATAACAAAATACTAACAGCTTACATATCCATCCTTCCAAGGAGACATATTATGCCTGCAGGTGTCTGTGGGACAGCAAGCCAGTCAGGGAGTGGTATTTAGGATCTCTTGGCTTTGAGAAACTGTCTTCTAAAAACTACTTCAGTCTAACCCAAGAGCCCACTGACACAAGCCTGAAGGTAATACTTAGCAGGATTCTCATGGGTTTTGACTACCTGTACCCGTCCCTTACTGTGAATATTGAATGGACTCTAAACTAGGATTTTCATTGACAAGAACAGAATCAGTAAGTGGTCCCTTTGGTAATCATCATACAAAGTCAAAGTGTCTTGAACAGTTTTTAGATTATTTTCATAGTGCTGGCTTAAAAATGTGTATTTTGAAATAGACACCTGGTATACTTTGTGCAGAAAAAACACTTTCAGCTTGCCCCAACACATTGCCATTGTGATTAGATGATCCAATTTGAGAACTTTTAAAAAAAATCTTGCCATATTAAAGTTTATCTTGTGTTTGATTTAAAACTAATCAAGTCTACATTTTCTCCTTTATGCAAGTATTATGATCAATTTTAAGAATACTTTTATTCTATTTTATACCTTCTCTACTGACTTATGGCTTCTTTATGGCATATATCCTAAGCAGAATGTACACAACTATCAATTTGTTCATCTGTCTACCTATTTATCATCTACATCAGTGGATTTTTTTCTTTAGCTCTTTAAATTTTCAAATTACTTTACCTGAAATATCAACATAATTAAAACACGTGTTTTAGAAATGTTTGGTGGTATTTTGGAGCTTCATAGATCTGTAGAAAAATGAGCAACAATGATTATTTTTAAAAGCCAAAATCACTTTACTTAGTGTGTGTAGGAACTCAAGAGCAAAACAAGAAAAAGGTTCTTAATAACCATTTATTTTTTAGCCATAACCCTATCAGAAAGGATTAAAATAATTTATCATAAGTTCAAAGGCACTCTGGCTCCAATCATCATCTTTTAGAAATTCTCACAGAGAAACAGCAAGCAAGGTTTGATGGATGGCTGTAAGTCATCTTTTTCAATGCAAGATGCCATTAATTCACAGCATAGCTATCTCAGGATTAAACACCATGATTTTCTAGTGTTTTTTTTTCCCCCCAAAGCCAGATAAATTTACTTTTTTAAGCATAAAAATAAGCAATATATCTTTTCAATAAATCTGCTAGCACTGTAGGGCAGCTGTTACCCAAACAGAGCTGGATAGGGTTACTTGAACACTCTCGGAAGGGCAGCGCTGATGATTCAGAGATCTGGGAAGAATTTATTTCAGCTTGTATTCAGTGCATTCCTTAGTCCATTCAGATGTGGTAAAGTATTTTAAATGCCATTACTGTGAGTTTAAAATAAAAAAGCAGAAATTCTTAGCAACTCTTTCTAAACAATGCCACTTTGAATAAAGCACAGTTAGTAAACATCTAAACCTGAATACCTGGATGCTTCTGAACACAAGTCAGGGACAGTGTTGAAAAGGTGGGGCCTTTTCTCCTCTAAACTTGCATGTCTTTCATGGTTTGCAAATTGCATGCTTAAAGTTATTTTACTCAGTGCGGATTATTTGCTGTGTTGCTTTTTTTTTTTTTAAAGCTTTTTTAATTTTCTTTCTAAAATATATCTCTCTATTGAACATTAACGTTTGCTTTTATTGCAGCTCAATTTGTACTCTAATAATGGCTAATTGTTATGTTCTAAGCACTTGTTTCTCTTGTATGCTTTAATTAATAGAGGAGCATATTGCAATAGCTTTTTCTAAAAAAAAAAAAACAGTCAAGGAATTTTGCTTTATAGAGTAAGGTTTTCTTTTGCTTTTTTTTTTTTTTTTCCTTTAAGTTGCCTCTTGGGAAAGTAAGGTTAATGCCATGTACAGTACTCGTTTGCATGTGTTCATTTAAATACTAAAAACTGTAGAACTGCTCCATCCATATCTGACTGCTAGGTTTCAATTGACAGCTGAGGATTTGTGACTGGACCATGAATCAAAACGGCAGGCATTTATACCCCAGTACCAGTGAGGATACATTGGGAATTACTTGGCAAAGGTAACATTTTAATTATTTCCAACCCTACACTTACACTTAAAAATTACATGAGCTGTAGTATTTGTTTTTAACTAGCTTTATAGAAAATATATGTTAAAAGTTTAGTTGTCTCGGCTATACCATCCCTCTTTCCCACCCCTCCCCCTTTATTTCTTATGTGAATGCAAATTTAAATTGATTTGAGGTTATAGCATATGATAATTAACTATTGGAATTTCTAAGTGCTATGAAATGTTTTAAACAATTTATAATATTTTTCTTGATGGAGGGGGTGGATTTTACACTTAGATTTTAGGACCTGAAATATGAAATTGGTTTTAGGGAAGAATATTTTAACTGTTGGGTTTTCACGTAGTAGATTTTTCTCATTTCAGCTCTTTCCTGGATTGCTAACTTTAAGCCATTTTATTATTCATTTATTCACCTATCAGAGAGGAAAGCTAGAAGAAAAAAACTTTAATTAGTTGATTTGCTGTTATTAGCAGCACTCATATATTGAGGAGTGGGAAGATTGTTGGAATTAATTCTAAAGAAGGAATCTGGTGTGAATAAAGCTTTAACTTTTGTTCATACATTGATGTGAGCCATTGAGGATTGAGTCTATTTCGTTGACTGGAAAAATAATTCTAAACCTTCATTTTTAAAACAGGTTTTCCTGTTCTGTCATGTATTGGTTTTAGAAAATCAGTAATGCATGTCAGCTTCTAACATATTATTTTAATAAAGAACAAGTTTTGTCAACTCGACAAATTAAATAATTAAAATTCACACTATAATCATAAGTAGCAAGAGATAAAAATTTACAAACGAGAGTGAGGTAATCCCATAAGGAGTTCACCAAAAGTAGAGCCAACGTAATTTTCCAGCCCTGCTGTGATTATAATCCTCTCTTCACTGAACATGCCTCTGTTAAAAGTACATACTGAGATATCAGCTGTCAGTGGGTCACACATACTGCTTGGTAGAAACTCCTAAAGAGTAGAGTTTTAAGGATTAAGTTAATAAAATGTTCACTTTTACTCAGGTGAAAACTAAAAAAATTAGTTGGACTCTGTTTTAAAAACTCAGGTTTTTATGAACACACTATTTAAAATGGATTCATATGACTTTTCCTTTTTTGAACGATTGATATAACTGCTGCTTTAAAATATATACGTTTTTCCATGTGTTGTGTTTTCTTCCAAGAAATTTGTATAATTCCCCAAGCTGAAAAAAAATACAATATATGCTATAAGAAAGAAGATGAGTTTAATGAAAGCATCTATTTAAAGTCTTAATAATTAATAATCTTAAATCTAATGAATATGTCTTATTTAAATAGTATTTTTAATTTAATTGGATATGGTAACACCATGTTTGGATTTAGTATTTCTTAAATAACTTCTTTATATTCCATGCTCGGTCTGTTAGCAAAGTAGCCCATGTCTGCATACAAGTCTTACAGTTGACAAGAATTGAAAGTTAGATGAAGTGTGCTTGTGTTTTTAAATTGTGACTATAGTTGTGTAATTTTTACATCTGTGGATTACTGATTGACATTTACTTGTCTAAAATAGGATAGCACCTTGAAAGTCAAATAAGGGTGTAAATTATTGGAAATTTAAAATAGAATTGTGCCTAGTATCTAGTAATTTCTCAAAGAAAAAGTTGATATCCCAAAAGAGGAAAAGGTGAGTGGATAATGAATCACTGCAGAACACATGTTTTGGAATGAACTAGTAAGATGACTAAACTCAGTTCTTAGGAGGACATTATTGAGGTTACAAATCTCCATCTTGGTGAAAAGTTGATGTTGTAATCAGTTTCAAGTGATAATAAGTCAGAAAAAAACATCAGAATTCATTTAGTTAACCCCCCACCCCCGGCCTCCCCCCTCAAAATAGTGATTTTTTTATTCAGGAGATAATGAAATATAAACTGCCTTAATGCTTCAAAAAGCTTTAAAAATGCAGCTTTTGGGTTGTTTCTTCTCTTTTTATCATGATTCAGAAGGCACAAAACTGATAATGACAGGGGTCACATTCATACTTCCAGCAGGCATTGGCTGCATCTCTGTGGTGGGCCAACTCAAATGCTATGGTGATGCACATGCTCCCTGTTCTTAAAATCCAAGTGTCTTACATACCGTTTAGAATAGAGTACTCAAATGAAACAACCATTTTCTTTGCTTTGTTATAGTTTGCAGAAATAGACACAAGGAGAGTCCATATTTGATAATTCATTTTGGGCATGCCGATGGCACAACATATTCATAATTTGTTTATGGTTTATAGTTTGTGCTCTGTGGTTATTAATAAAACTTTGTGTGTGTGTGTGTGTGTGTGTGTTTTTTCCTGGAAAGGATGCTATGAAAGAAATCATAAGTATCTATAACACTACTACTTTTAATGCAGATAGCAAATATCTAAAATCTTCAGGGTCCTGGTACAACTTTAAAATTTTCTGAATAAACTGAAAATATATGGGAAATATACAGGGTGTCCCTAAAAATGTATACACACTTTACAGCTGATAGCTCAATTGATGTTTATTTCTTTTCAGATTTTAAACCATTGTGTATACATTTTTGGGGGCACCCACTGGATCTCTTCAAACAGAGAATTAAATCATTTGCTTTTGTCATAACGGAATAAAGAAAAGATCAGGTTACTTTTGTGGTGGTTTTTACTTTTTGCTCTTAACAAAAAGTGATCCCTCAAGACTTTGTAGGAGAAAAGCCAAATAAGGTGCTTTGGGTTTTTCTTTGTGTTTTGGCTTCCCTTTGTTTAATTTTGTTTTGATTGCTTGTTGCCATTAATTTCCTCTTCCAGTCGCTAGCCGTGGTCACCCATGTTCTGCTTTGTACCGATCCCCCTGTAGAGGCGTTTCCACGTCACATTGCAGCTCCTTTTGTGGGACTGAAAATGGCAGTGCTGGGGGAGCTGAGCAAATATAATCAAAGCTGGAAGCTTTCATCCTCCTCCTTCCTGGCTCCCTCCCACTGCCGCCCTCATCTACAACCCCTCCCCCCCCAGACCCCCAGCCCACCAATATATGAACATTCCCCGAGGAAGCAAGCATACTTTTTTGCAAAGTTTTAGTCTTATTAGGTTGCAACCCTGAAGGTGTTTTGTTGTTTTGACCTTAGAAGTGTGTGCGTTTGTGTGTGTGTGTGTGTGTGTGTGTGTGTGTGAGTATGTATGTGTTGCTTGCACCTGTGTGAGTTTTCTGTCTAACCCCCCAAAGGTCTGGTATCACAGTCAACCCAGAGTGCAATCTGTGAACCAAAGGCTCACTTCTGCTTGAATCACAAGGGCTCGGTGCTTAGGCAGGGAATAAGTGATGAGTTTCGTCTGTCGTTCGTGAGGGTACTGTTGTGTCTGTGCTTTGTCCTCCGATGTGGATAAAGTAGATTGTTGCATATGTGAGTTATGTGGGTATAAACAAATACAGCAGTTAACTCCCTAGCTGGCTTTCTCTCTTGAAACTGTAGCCAGAACATAGCTTGTACTATGGAATATAAAAGAGCAATATAATTGAATGAAAAAGAAAGCTGAAGGACAATCCAAGAATAATATAAACATATGTTATTTTAAAACATGGGAGGGAGCGCTTTATGCAAAAGAGAAACTGGATTTATTGTTTCATTCCCTCTGCTCCCCCTTCGCCTCTTTCAGGAAAAGGCAAAGCCACAAGTGAGTGGCTGTATGTGTCTGATTGCTTGTATAAACATCGAAGAGGCCTTCAGATGGCTAAAATAAACACGCGCGTGTTACTGAAGGATATGTTTACACAAACCATTTGCTCAGCCTCCCGAAATAATGAATAAATGAAGATTTTACTGAAATAATTGGAAAGATTTTTGTGTTTCTGTGGATGCCATAATTGAATGGCACCAAAGAGACTTTTATCAGCTATTTTACATGTTACATGTGTTAGCAGTTCCTTTCTATGAGTTGAATACTTCATTCTGTAGTTACTTTACACATGTTTTTGTAAGAAATTGTCGTTTATTACTGCAATTCTGGAGAGTTGCTTGATTTCCCAGGAGAAATTTAGCAGCCAGTAAAGATTATTTGGGTCTGCTTGGTCAGGCGAGGGGAGGCAAGAAAGGAAGGAGCCATGGCATTCGTTTCATGCTTAGAGCCCTATTTACATAACACTGCCCTGAACCTCACTGTGTCTTGGTAAAATGCACATTCTCCACGGCTTAAGAATGAATGCTTAAACAAAATCATCTTCAATATAGGTTTGCAAACCATATGTTTTTTATGGAAATAAATGTGTATGTGTGTAGATGCTGTGTGTGCATGTGTGTACATACACATGTGTGTATGTGTATATATATACACACACACACACATACACACATGCTTGTGGTCCTTGTCTGGTAAGAGCAGTATGTGACCTATCCATAGGTAGTAGTAAGAGTTAACTTTTCTTTTGACATGACACTTAGACCATCCCCAGGAATTTACTAGTTAGCATTTCCTGCTTTCAGTTTGTTATCTTGACACATAACTACAATACAACAGCTGGGTTGTTCCTGGGGTTCCTGAGGGGAGCTTTATTCTCAGAGTGCTGAGTTTCCTTTTCAGCTGTCAGCTCTAACGTGTGCGTTCAAAACGCTCAACTTTTTTTTTTACCCACCATCCCGTGCCCCTAGCACCGCCCTGGGACCAGGCTAGAAACGCTGATCAGGTAGATGCCCTGGAGAATCTCTGGTTCGGGAAGGGAGTTGCAGAAGGCAGACCGGCATACAGCCATTGTGTGGTAACCAGGCTGCTCTGCTCCCTAATGACGCTCTTCAGATCGGAATAATCTATTTAAAAGAATGACTCCTTTCTCATCAGAGTTATTTTCGCCTGTTAGGAAATGAAAAATAAAAAATGTTAACCATTCTTTAAAATGATCTTTCATGGCGTTCACCCCCAACCCCCCCCCCCCCCACCTCCCCATACAATATCTGTGATCTAGCTGTTGAAAAACACACTGGGACTTGCTGTAGTTTTGCCTAACTT